TCATCAACAAAGAAAATTACGTACATTGAATCATACCCATCATGTATATAATACAAACAATAATCATTCAAAAAACTATTTCCACATCCATGTGATTAATAAATAATTAGATGATTTTGTAAACCTGCTTTTTTGAACCTGCATACTCTTTCTGTTCCATCATTATAACCTTCCGGCTGTTAAACATACACTTCAGATTTTACATTTCTATTCAAGGAAGCTGATTCCACATCCATTTGATTAATAACTAGATTATTTTGTAAACAATAAGCCGAAAAAATTTTAAGGGTTTGTGTTTTTGCTACAGGTAAATATTAAAGCCAATTTTTTCTTTTTGTTCAAAACCTCTTACTGCTAATCTAGCTTTATATCTGTGGCGTCTCACATCTCTCGCGCTTCAGGCTCCACTCGCCAGGTGGCTAAGCCCCTCATAGTTCGCTCCCGTCAAGCGGCGAAATTCCCGCACGATTACTATATAAGCGCGATCGAGATAGTCTAAGCCCATACTTCTTCTGTGTCTAAGGCAGGGAGCACGTCATCAGCCTTACTGATGAGTCCTGGCGTGCTCCCGGGACGAAACATCAAACCACCTTTTTCTCTCTTATAGACGACCTCTTCGATCTCTATATATCTACTGTCTGATTTCTTGGTATGCACCCATTTTGAATCAATAATTTTCATCCCATTTATAATTTTGTTTGACCTCCGGCACTTTTACAAATATTTGACTTCCATACAATTTTATATTATTTAAGTTTTGCTTAACTCCCACCATAATTTTATGTGGAGTTTTCCTTTTAAATATATTTAATAACTTTCTGTTTTTTAAGTAAACTGCGGTTTTTACTACTCCTTACCAAAATTTTATGTTTAATTTTGGGTCAAATAACAGACACTTTGCTGTCTCCATTACTGATCGATTAAATGTTTCTGCAGTTCCATTTAACTCATGCACATATATAGGGCATAGATCTATTATAATGCCTTTACGCATTGTAAATTCATAAAAACTTTTGTTTATGAAATCTTTCCCATTACCACATCTCAAGTTTTATGACTCTAAAGTTTGCAACGTTGCTTGCAACGAAAATGAAAAAAACATTTAAAAAAATTTTTTTATTATTGAGATGCTTCAAACGCTTCAGCGAGTAATAAGGAGTGCTCCCGTCAATTTTTAGATGATAAAAATCTATCCTTCCCAAAATATAAAAGTTTAAAGATTTATTCCAGTGTATAGGCGTAAAAAATACGTTTAGGACTTGAGAAATATTGAATTAAGATTTATATAGTCTATACAAATCAAGGTAAATCTCTGTTCACGCATTAACTCATAAAAACCATAAAAAAGAGCTCCCCGCTATAATACCGTCGCGATATAGCAATGATCCATATTACCCAATAACCCAACAAAGTTAAAATGGGCTGTATACCCATGTACAAATGACTTAAAATATAAAAAATCATCCATACTGAAACGATATTCTTAGTGCTAGTAAAATAAAGTAAATGAAAATTTATATTTCCCGTCCACGTAAACTTGATATATTAAATATTTTATTGTAAAAATGTCGGCAATCAACCAAAATTTCACGATATTCTACATAAAAAGGCTGTACGCCACCAAAGATAGCAGGAAAAATAGAAGAATAGATGACAACGTTCAACAGTTAAAGCACTTTTCGTCTTCCAAATCTTGTTATTTATTAAGTTTATCATTAAAAAAAGACCAAAAAATACCTACAATTCTGAAAAATCTGATATCACAAGGTGCACGCCACTAAAAATGCCTAAACTTACAGTGATATTATTAAGTACGTATGGAAGTAAAAAGTAACAACAATTTTCTTCTTCCGGCATTAGTAATTTCAAGTGTTATGTCGCAAAAATGACCAAAAAAATACAGAATATTAGGGAAAAGTTATTATCACAGGCTGCACGCTACTAATAATGCATAGACGTCTTATAATATTACTTAATACGTATAAATTTAATAAGGTTTAACAATCTTCATCTTTCGGAAATAGTAATTTCAAGTGTTTTATCACATAAACAACCGAAAAATACGGAAATTTTGGGAAAATTAATCATCACAGGCTGTACGGCACTAATAATGTATAATTATCTAATTATGTTACTTAGTACGTGTAAATATAATAAGTTCCAACAATTTTTGTGTTTTTTAATTAATAATTTTAAGTGTGTTGTCGCAAAAATGACTAAAAAATACGGGAATTCAGGGAAAAATGATTATTACGGGCTGTGCGCCATTGATAATGCATAGACATTTATAAATATTACTTAGTACGTTGAAATATATTAAGTTTTAAAACTTTTGTCACACGGAACTATTCATTTGAAGTGTTAAATCGCAAAAATATCCAAAAAATACAAAAACAGAGAAAATTTATAATCACAGGCTGCATGCCACTTAAAACGCATGAACATTTAGTTTTGTCACTTAGTTTATTTGAGAGTAATGAGTCCCAGAAATTTTAGTCTTCCAGAATTATTGATTTTAAGTGTTTTATCGCAAAAATGACTGAAAAGTACGAAAATTTATGGGAAGTTTATTGTTACAGGCTGCACACCACTTATAATGCATAGACATTTATTGATATTACTTAGTCCATATGAGAGTCATAAGTTTTAACAGTTTTCTGCTTCAGAAATTATCAATTTCAAGTATTATGTCACAAAAATTCTTTTATGTTCTCTGTTAGGCGGGAAAAACATTTTATTTGACTGATTTTACAATTAAAAAAAAAAAGAAAAAAATTGTATACTTCAGATTATATCTAATAGAAAATTCTGCAAGACGAAAAAAACTCTTGTCGCTTGGAGACTTTTTTTTTCTTTAAAAGATTTTTTTGGACTTTGAAAAAATTTTGAGAGCTACCCGTTAACTAAAAAAAAAAAAACTGATCCAGCAGTGCCTCCTTGACTATTGCCTCTCCTATGGCCTTTCACCTTGCGTTACTACATATACACGGAAAAAAGACTGGCATGGTGGGTCGCCACTGAGAAAGAAGACAGCGCGCCCTACAGCCTGGATCGCTGCTCATCCAAGCTCAGGGCTCGCGGCAAGCAGTGGTAGAGCATGGACGGGGTATGGCTTGACTTCGAAGCCATGCCGCTCGCAGTGTCCGCTTTCTCCTCTTCACTTGTTCTCACTATAAATGCTAGAAACATATTTGTTGATTTTTTTTACAAAGTTTTGTGCATGTTGAAAGGTAAGTGAAAGACCTGATTGATAGAAAATTTTCCGCCCTACACGCTTGGTTTTTTTTTCTTTTGCTATTTGCTACCTTTTATGAGATATAAATAAAATAAATTTTAAATACCATTTTAACATTGACCCACCAATTTAAAGAGGTTTTTATTACACCGGCACACAAAAAAAAGTGGACTGTACTTTTGACCAGACCCACTTATCTTTATGTATATTGACGCGCTAAATCCGAATCCAAGATCCGTTTGACCCGTACACCCTCAAAAATTCGAGTAAATTGCAAAAATGAATGTGCTTAATGAATGTTGCAAATAGCATTTTTGATGTATTCTTCAGTTAGCTTTTCGGTAGTGAGGTTAGCTCTGCGAAATGAAATTTAATTAAGGAATTTAATGAAAAATACCTTTCGGCTTACCACTTCCTTATATATATATATAAACACGTATGGTGCACCACTAAAACAAAGCTTAGAACTCTTAACAGCCGGCTATAGTTACGATGATCTGTAGAAACGACTGCCGGCTTTCCACATTGGTCGGTGCGTGCGCATCAGAACATAGAGCATCATTTGCACGTTTGGACTGTTTGGAGGATCTGAAGGATCCAAAGTCATACTGTATCAAAACGGGGACGTTAAAAATATTATATCATTGGAGGATTAAGGTGTATCATAAAGATAATTGGATTTCCGACGGAAAGTGACGTACAGCGATGGCTAATTAGATGGCCTTTGAGCTCTTTCTCATGCCAGCTCATAATGTTAATTTAAACACACCTTCACAGTCTTGTATATTTATATATCCATACGTCTAGACCACTCACCATACTACTAAATTAAAAATTTGATGTGCAAGGTGCCTTTTTTGATATTTTATATATTTAAGTTGAGTGATTGCGGAAATAATAATACCGGCACACAAAAAAAAGTGGACTGTACTTTTGACCAGAAAAACTGCGAAAAATAGCCGAAAATCGTAAAAAATCACATTTTCAGCTCTTCAAACATTCAAAAAAAATTTTTTACACATCTGACGAGGTTGATTCATACGTATTTTGATGCGTTGAATCCGAATCCGAGGTTCGTTTGATCCATACACCCTCAAAATTTCGAGTAAATCGCAAAAAACTGCAGAAAATAGCCGAAAATCGTAAGAAATCATATTTTTAGCTCTTAAAACATTCAAAAACATTTTTGTAAACATGTGTTGAGGTCCATTCTTATATATTCTGCCGTGCTGAATCTGAATTCGACGTCCGCTTGACCCGTACACCCTCAAAATTTTGATAAATTTGCAAAAAACAGCAGAAAAAGCGCAAAAAGTAGCAGGAAATCACAGTAAATCGTAAAAAATCGAATTTCTATGCTCCAGCTGAGTATAAAAAAAAATTTCATGCAAATTCTGTCCAATTCTTATGTTTCATTTTTTACTGAGTTGAGGTTAAAGATTCGTTTAGCTCCAAAACTTTTAAAATTCCGAGGAAATTGAATAAACAGAAGGAAATTGCTTTTGTGAGCGTTATAAAACTAAAAAAAGTTTTTTTCAAATCTTTTTGAATTATGTTCTTCTTGTACATCGAAAAATGGTGTAAAAAATGATGTGAAAAAACAATGAAAAGTTTGCGGTGATCTTAAAATTTCAACTCTAATACTAGGTCAATCAACCATCCGGATTCATAAAAAATCCCTGCTTTTTACGTTTATGGGATAGCAGATAGAGAAAAAATCATTTTATTAAAAAAGACTGGCCAAAGAGAACTGAATTTCATCCAGGATTGAGGAACATCGTACGTGAACCATTGATTAAACCTTCCAAATTTTTGCTACCACCTCTTCATATCAAGCTGGGTCTCATGAAGCAATTCGTCAAAGCTCTGAACAAATATGGTGATTGCTTTCAATATTTAGGTGAGAAGTTTCCCGCAATAAGTGATGCTAAATTGAAGGAGGGTATATTCGATGGTCCTCAAATTCGTGCTCTGTTTCATAATGACAATTTTATTACATAGATGAATAATATAGAACAAGCAGCATGGCAAAGTTTTAAGACCATATCTCAGAACTTTTTAGGTAATGAGAAGAGCGAGAATTACCGGAATATAGTTGAAAAGTTGTTAGACAATTTCAAACAATTGCTTTCTCACCCTGTCCAGCCACCGATACTGGGTTTCCGAATCCCTGCACCGTAAAGTACTCCCTGCTTGTGCCTGCCATGACGGCATAAACGCCGTTAACCCAGGGACTCTGCCGCATAAACCCGTTGCTCACCATCATCACGTGGAGATGCCCTGGTTACAGGCACAAGCAATGAGTCCTTACGTGATCTATATTTAAAGTTTCTAAGTACCATAGGTCTCTTTCTAAAAATTACCAGAATATAGTTGAAAAGTTGTTAGACAATTTCAATCAATTAAGTTGTTTGATGAGTCTCAAATTACAAATTTTATATTCTCACCTTGACTATTTCCCAGAAAATCTTGGAGATTACAGCGAAGAGCAAGGAGAAAGATTCCATCAAGATATAAGTGAAATGGAAAATCGATATCAAGGAAGATAGGATATCAACACGATGGCTGATTTCTGTTGGACATTAAAGAGAGAAACAACTCAAGAGAGGAATTAGAGAATGAGAAACCCGCTTCATAGGTCGTTCGAAGAGAAAAAAGTTCGCTACAAGAGGAAGAAAGTGTGAGAGCAATATAAACGGAAACATGATTCACATGTGTAGACCTATTTTGCTTTATTTTATATCCATGATATTCATACTTGACACTTGTTACTCCTTATATTGGCCGTTTTTTCACAATTTTTCACAAAAATTTTTAATTTAGTAGTATGGTGAGTGGTCTAGACGTATGGATATATAAATATACAAGACTGTGAAGGTGTGTTTAAATTAACATTATGAGCTGGCATGAGAAAGAGCTCAAAGGCCATCTAATTAGCCATCGCTGTACGTCACTTTCCATCGGAAATCCAATTATCTTTATTATACACCTTAATCCTCCAATGATATAATATTTTTAACGTCCCCGTTTTGATACAGTATGACTTTGGATCCTTCAGATCCTCCAAACAGTCCAAACGTGCGAATGATGCTCTATGTTCTGATGCGCACGCACCGACCAATGTGGAAAGCCGGCAGTCGTTTCTACAGATCATCGTAACTATAGCCGGCTGTTAAGAGTTCTAAGCTTTGTTTTAGTGGTGCACCATACGTGTTTATATATATATATAAGGAAGTGGTAAGCGGAAAGGTATTTTTTATTAAATTCCTTAATTAAATTTCATTTTGCAGAGCTAACCTCACTACCGAAAAGCTAACTGAAGAATACATCAAAAATTCTATTTGCAACATTCATTAAGCATAGGAACAAGGTTAAGAAAATGAGCTAAAAACATTGCTTTTTAGCGCTCCCGCACTTTTCGCATCAAACGCCTTATATAATACCTGTAGGTACGTATGCTCAGTTGCAGCTGGACTTGGCTATACTTGGCTGTATCCTCGAGCTTCAGTAATGTGTCTATCAAACTTTTCAGACACACACACACACATACAGAAATATGAGCTACTTAACAATATTTAATATCAGAAGTAACATAACATTTTAGCTATATTCCGCAAATGCTGCCAGCAGTTGAGATACGTATGTTGTGGTAACGCCATGTGCTTGGGCGGCGCTACTATCAACCTGTACTAACTGTCGGTAAACAACGTAAAGGATGACGAAAATTGTTAGAACTTATTATTGTCATACGAACTAAGTAATATTGACAAATGCCTATACATTATCAGTGGCGTGCAGCCTGTAATGATAAATTTTCCCTAAATTTCCGCATTTTTCGGACATTTTTGCGACAGAAAACTTGAAATAAACAATTTCGTGTGGCCAAAATTGCTAAAACTTGTTGCTCTAATATGTACTAAGTAACATCAATGAATGTCCATGCATTTTGAATAGCGTGCAGCCTGTGATGATGAATTTTCCTTAAAAATCCATATTTTTTTGTCATTTTTGCGATAGAACATTTGAAATTAATAACTTTGGCAGACAAAATATGTTTAAACTTTTTCTATTTGTCTGTACTAAGTGATATCATCGATCGTCTGTGCATTATCAGTGGCGTGCAGCCTTTGATAATAGATATTTCTAAATTTCCTTATTTTTTGGTCAGTTTTGCGATACAACACTCGAAATTAATAATTTCGGAAGATGAAAATTGTTATAACTTATTACTCTCATATGTACTTAGCAATATCAATGTATGTCTACGCATTATCAGTGGCGTGCAGTCTGTGATGAAAATTTTCCCTAAATTTCCGAATTTTTCGGTCATTTTCGTGATGTAACACTTGAAATTATTATATCCAGAAGACAAAACTTGTAAAAACTTATTATATTTATTTGTATTGTGTAATATCAATATATTTTATGCATTATCCGTGGCGTCCAGCCTGTGATAACAAATTTTTGCTTAATTTTCGCATTTTCCAGTCATTTTTGCGATATAATACTTGAAATTAACAATTTCGAAAAACAAAAATTGTTGAACCTTATTACTTTTATATGTACTAAGTGACATCAACAATGGTCTATGCATTATTAGTGGCGTGCACTCTGTGATAATAAATTTTTCCGAAATTTCCGTATTTTCCGGTCGTTTTAGCGACATAACACTTGGTATCAATAATTGCGGAAAACGAAAATTATTGGCCCTTATTACTCTTATATATACTGAGTGATATTATTAATTGACTACTCATTATCAGTGGCGTGCAGCCTGTGATTATAAATTTTCCCTAATTTTCCGTATTTATTTGTCATTTTTGCGGAATTACACTTGAAACTTATATTTCAGGGAGGTAAAAGTTGTTAAATCTTATTATAGTTATACGTACTAAGGATTATCAATAAATGTCCTTACATTATCAGTGGCGTGCAGCCTCTGATAATAAAGTTTTCTAAAGTTGCCATATTTCTCGGTCGTTTTTGCGACATAACACTTGTAATTAATAGTGTCAGAAGAAAAAAATTGTTAAAACTTATTGCTATTATATGTACCTTATAATATCACTGTAAGTTTACGCATTTTTAGTGGCGTGCAGCTTGTGATATCAGATTTTTCAGAATTGTAGGTATTTTTTGGTCTTTTTTTAATGATAAACTTAATAAATGACAAGATTTAAAGTCGAAAAGTGCTTTAACTGTTGTACGTTGTCATCTATTATTCTGTTTTTCCTGACATCTTCGGTGGTGCACAGCCTTTCTACTTAGAATATCTTGGAATTTTGGTTAATAACGGACATTTTTACAAAAAAATATTTATTATATTAAGTTTACGAGGACGTATACAGCCTATTTTAACTTTGTTGTGTTATTGGGTTATACGGATCGTTGCTATGTCGTGAAAGTGTCATAGCGAGGAGCTTTTTTTCATGGTTTTTATTATTATTTGCGTAGACAGAGACTTCCCTTGATTTATTATGAATTCTACTTTGATAGTTTTGAGAACCTAAACGCATTTTCTACGCCTATACGCTCGAATTAATCTTTACACTGTTATATCTCGTGAAGGGTACATTTTTATTATTGAATAGTTAATTGAAGCCTTTTTTATTATCTGTTAAAGCGTTTAAAGCAATTTATTGAAAGAAAAAAAATATTTATTTTTGTTGCACGCAACTTAGCACACTTTAGAGTCATTAAATTTTTTATTTTTTTCTTTGTCGAGTTTTATAATTTTTTTTTATATTATCTACTAAACAATCATAAGTTTTATTTGTAAATTTTATTGTGTTTGTTTTATGAATTTTACTGCGATCGCTAGCAATAATTGAAAAATATTTATTTTTATTACAACTATCTTTATGAGGCTCATTTAAATTTACATGTAAGAGTTCTAACATAACTCTACGTCTATCATTATGAAATTCAATATTATGCATTTTATTTTGAATATAAATGCCACATTTCGAATAATCATCCTCTAAATTATTAGGCAGACCTTTGACTAACTTTTCTTTACATAAAATATTAAAATAATAAAAATTATACGGCC